GCGAAATTTAAGTCCCTGTAAAATGAAAAGTTTCGTCCCTTCTGCTTCGGCCTTTACAATAAAAAGCTGTTCCGTTTTAGATCCAATTCATTCGGTGCAATGGAATCGCACCAATGGCTCCACCTTGGAAATTTACTCAGGATTCATAAATTTGCAAAAAAAATTGTCCAGCGATTTCACCCCGATCATCCTTGTAGACAATATATTTATTTCTCAGCAGTATAAGCCATACCTCACAGTAATTTGTGTAAAACAGAAATCTGCGTAAGGTCGATTTTCTCGTGTAGAGTGGGTGCTTAGCATTAGGGTCAGATGATGCGGTGTGTATGGGATAAAGGGTACGTGGGGGAGTCAAATTGGATCAGCCGATTCCGGGTCGAGTTATAAACACGAGCTTTCCCTTCTATACGTTCTCCCTCTCTGGTTGTCTCTTTCTCACCCTCCCTAACAACCCCTTTCCATAGCTCTCAACCCCTGCCAGTATCAGCAACAAACCAACACCCCCCACTGCCTTTCCCACCTTCACTTACATTGTCAGGATATAAATGAAGTGAGCCGCGTATACAGCTGCCTACATGTCATCATCATCATACACTTGGGACGCGAATTATTATATCCCTTCCTAATAAACACTTTGACAAATTACACTTGCAGACTCCTTACTCTTCTTGGACCTAAAAGTACCAGGGGGTAGTACTCGGGTGTACCAGGGTATCATCTCGGGTCACTCTAATGGCTCTGCACAATTTTTTACATCCCTTAGACTCAGCTGCTTCACCGCCGAGAAAAATCTTCGACGCGACCCCTCCTCCCCCTCTCCTACCCACCCCGATCACTCATGTGCACCATCCGCGCACATCGCACCATCTGCTACTTTAGTCTAGGCCGTTCGGTGCCAATTGCGTCTGGCCAATTAGTGCACATTCGCTATAATGGCTTTAAACGTCATTTTAAATGTTACAGTATCTCTAAGTATTTCAATTTAACGTACGAGCATCCTCGTGAGATACTTGCACCACACGTACCATACTCCGTGGTATACCATACATATACGCGTATACTTTTCTACATACAAGATACCTTTGAAGTCACGTTCACAGCACGCTCATTTTTCATACATGCATAATTGACAACGATAGTTTCCCTTAACGATAAACACTGGTACGGTCTTGAAAGTTAACTTGTAAGATGACTTAGTTGACAGTACAGTACAGTGGATAAAGTATAAAGAGCAGCAGCGTATCAGGATAGTTCGTACATTTATGCACGCCCGATATCACAAGGATATACCTAGGACGTCACAGGAGAGTCTTAAATTGTTTTTCCACCTTGTTGGAACACCGGCGATAGTGCCGAGCATACAGTTTTTCCTTGCGAAGATATTTTCATGTCGAATTAACAATGTTCGCCATGCATCGCTTTATGCTCTCCCGTGTTGTTCTTGGATGTTTTCCTTTCTGGCAGGAACGTCACAGTGTTTATTCGGGTCTTCTCGATGTCCCTGGGCTATCGTGGCTGCTAATACTATCGTGCCTATAAATAGGTATATCTATATATTATACACTATACAGTTATACTGTGTGTCACGTATGCTTTCATATGCTCGGCTCTCGCACGGACATCCCAGTACCCTTCCACGCCGCCATGATTATATCCCGAGTTACTCTCATGCGGTACAGTTACATCAATGGGGAATCGGTTTATTACAATGGACGCGGTAATAATAAATCACTCGGCGAAGGCCCCTTATCTCCACAACAATGTGCGACAGAACTATTACTCGTCAGTGTACCCGTCGCTTGTTTCCCAGGCAAACCCACGTAGACACGGGAGAAGCAGTACCCACAATGTACTGCGGCGACCAATGTGCCAGCTACTCGACGGACTATGGCACAAGTGGCGCTCAATTCCATGGCATAATGCCATAAAGAACATTTATCACACACAGATTATTACGTGTCTACGAACGGGAGGTCGTTCGGAGTCGATAAAATATTTGTTAGATTATCTTTGCGCGAAGGCTGTCCAATTTTAAGACACGTCGATTTTTAGTCAGCAGTCGACTCTAAGGTTAATCGTGTTAGCGTTCTTTACGTCATACCTTTTTTACTCAGGAATTCGCGTATACGTAAAGGTCTCGTAAGGATGGGTCATCGGATTTACGAACATTTAAAGGGTGCATCTGGGAAATTGATGGCGTTAAAGTTTATAATGCTTTTAGTTCCAGAGATGTCAATTATGGCTGCCTATAAAATCTGTAAACTCTATTCGCTTCGTAGAATATTTAATACGAGTGTCTGCCGCGTTGAGTCATAAATTTCTTAGACCTTACCAGTTTGGAGTTATCGATTATCTCGATGTATATACATATACATATATATATTACACAGGACTTTTCTTAGAGATTTTACCTGGACAAGACAACCCTTTTCGTGCTTGTAATTATTTCATAGTGCTTTACGACCTCGTTTGACTTCACAGCAAATGGTATACCTTGACTTAATCAGTGTCTCGAATCGTTTTTAATTATGACATATCTCGGGGAAATTATTTTTGATAACCCCTGCATACTGCTCCAGCATCCCTCGGTATTGTTACTAACTACGATGAATCCGGAGAGAGAACTAGGATTAATCCCAACGCAACAGCACAATATACACTGGATGTTTCTATGAAGCCGCACGGAAACGAGCAACGTTGTTCGATTGGGTAGTCGCTGGTTTTCCTTTTTTCTTTTTTCCTTTCCTTTTCTGCGCTTACTCCGTATCGCAGAGATATACATATTTCAAGCAATTTACAATTCTGTATACATTACAAACAGAATGGCCATTATCGTTTTGGGTCGGAATGAAAAATATTAGCTGTTGCTATCTTTCCCCTAATTAATTGGCTGTATACCGAAGGGCGTTTGCACAGTAACAATCGATTCGCGGATTTTAACATATAGATACACTATATAGATCCAGTAGGGATGCTGTGTAGCACACTGCACGCACACCCTGAACGGAATTCAAGATCCATTGTGTTCCTAGTTAGAGATTGGTCGGATACTGTACTAGTAATAGTCGAGCTGCGATATACAATCAACCCTTCGCGAGAAATCTGTATATTATTTTCTATAACCCTTATACTACCCTGTAACGATGAATGGGAATTGATATGAATTTTAAAATATTTCCTGCAGATACAATTTTCTTGATACATTTTATACAGTGAAATTTTGTGACAACCCTCGGTGATTTACCACTATCCCCTGAGAAATAATACTGATAAGGGATGACTATCTGGCTTTGTGTAATGAAAAATAAAAGACCATAAGAAAAACGTATATATGAAAGAACATAATTGGTAAACGTTAAATGGACATGCAATCTATATGAGTTTGTAATCATCCCTTAAAATTCAAGATGGCAATCGATAGGTATCACTGCGTTCGAAATAAAATTATATTTTTGATAAAAACGCACAGATATCAGAATCAATTACAGAATCGTTAAAAAATATTTAAAAATTTTTCATTTAGTCTCGAGCGGTATGGACGCTTGGTATAATTAATCGTAACTGTAAACGAGAATCATGGGATTTTATCGTAGCGAATATAATAATGACAGTACGTGAGTATCGAATAAAACGAACATTCCAGTAGAGATACGTGCTACCCATTACTCGCAGCGATGTACATTAAAATAGTTCAATGAAATGAAATATTCTCGGTTTACAATAGTAATCATTATTTCTTTTTACTCAACGATCCCATGATTCCTGCATATCGTGTAACAAGTTACACGAAAACAATCCATCCAAATTTTAATCTACTTAACGAGAATCGATCATAACTGGAAATATTTGTGTACATCATACTTGCGCCTCTAGATATCACATTACCATCGACTCTACCGATGTTCTAAAAACAATACAAGCACGTTGCTATATTCAGAGAATTATAAATTTCATTAAAAAAAAAAAAGCAGTAGCTTCCCCATATATTCATTTATTCAATTTTTATTATCCCCTTCCCAGCTATAATTTATTCAATGGCCGCGCTTACGCCCACCCCCATTTTGCCACTATTATCATACACGTTTCCCCATATTACCATATCCAAAGTCATAAGTCATAACTTGCCTGAGGTCACTGTACATATAATATCCATCATACATGGTTTGTACGTTGAAATGCTCGGACGGTCCAGGAAGTGGTGTTAACAGTGATCATAATCGACGACAGCGCGACGTCATTGACATAAAAGTCCGCCACTAGGATCATCGTACCGGAAAGACGCCGCGGATACTAGACTATATACGATGTACAATGTGTGTAGAAAGCAGTATACAGGTTATGGGTGTGTATGGAGTATATACCTATATACTTGGAAACAAATATATATATATGCTGTATCTATATGGGTATTGTAAGCATATAGGTATATAGAATGGAATACGGTGGCTGCCAGCCTCACATGGCTATTTAGGAAAAGGAGAGGTTGGAAGAAAGCAGAAGCCGGGACAGGCGGAACGGTTGGTACGGGTGGAACATGGGGTTCAGGGGTGGTGGTTAAGGGGGTCGTGACTGGGTATGAGGTGGGTTCGAAGTAAGGGAGATAGGAATGCCGTGAAGCAAGAAAAGATGCTGGGGGCGATGTGCTCCGCCATTCCGCGAGATGATGGCGAAGCACGGGAAAGCCCAGATGCGCTTGCTTGCGAAAAGCCAGACCATTGACACCGAGAGAGCTCGGCATTGTTACCGCACTTGCTAATAAAGAAAAATAAAGGCACCACCACGGATATTAGTTGCCAGCCCTGTAAGGTACCTAGCCGGAGTTTGCCGTCGTCGTCGCGACGTCCCAGCAACCTGGTACTATACCTCGGAGGCTCCTATATCCTTTGGCAAGCGTTGTTATATGTATACCGTATGCTATTGTGATACCAACCCTTGGTAAAATTATTCCTTAAAATGGACGTGACGTGAATTCGTAATGTGGTCTCTTCTTTTCTTTGCAGATTAAAGATGAAGTGGCCGCTGATCTTGGTCTGGTTCCTCTCATCGAGTTCCAGCATCCTGGCTGCACCCACCGAAGAATCTACCCGTAAGTTTACGGTCCCTTTTGATATTGCTTTTCTTTTTTTCTTATCTTATCCACTCCTCTTTTCTCTGTGGAGACACCTTGTATGCTGAATAAATTGAGCTCCATTGACTCGGAGCGAAAGCGACAGTGAGATCGTGGAAAATTCGTAAGGAGTATGGTAATTCAAGTTGGTGTCTGTAGTTTAATCGTTAACGAGAGGGAGGAATGTTAAAGACTAGTAAGAGGCCTGGATATCGTTTGATGCTCGTGAAAGTATCGTCTACAGGTGTATACATCGAAGGGACGCCAGCCTATCATTTGAATATAACGTTTCCCTCCTTTCCATAATCTACATTTAACGGAGTGTAGATAGTCAAATTAATCGTTCGCTTTTCAGGAAGATAAACGCGGAAACAGGTCGCTTTCAATGAACCTTACCAAGGGGACTCACACTGTAGATCGCCGTACCCCGGTAACACGTAGTGTAAACAGATAATGCCGTTCCGTGACGATACCCAACGTTCTCTCTTCGCGCCCTTTAGAACTTAAACCCTTCTCAGGGCCGTTTCCTTCTACGCTTCTACTTTGTCCTATACTTTGAAGACTCGAGCCATAATCTGCGGAGGCTAGTCCGTGGAGTTTCGCTTGATTGACCATACAGGTTCTCTCTATTTCTCTCTGATGTACATAGATGTTGTTCTCTCTAGGATTTCCTGTAGCGTTTATCTATACGTTGATATATCTCTTATATCACTCCAGCCCAGTCTTGAACCTTCCCCAACGTCGGGCTTCTCTATGTCCACCAACGACAACTCTCAAGCTCACGCTCCGGCGCACCCCGAGAAACTTCGATTTAGACGGTGGCATTGTGGCCGGGAAAGTGGCCCGACAACCAAAGGAACTGACATTCGCCCAAGATTAGCCGAGCCACCTCTGAGATTTTCCCTTCCGGATTAATTGGGGCTTGGTGAAATCTTGACTTGAGATTTACGAGCGGCAGTTTTGGACTATAAATGATCACTGTCGCAAAATCCGTTGTTTCATAATCTCTCGAGCTTTGTCGTCGCGAGGGGTGTGCCCTCGTCGCATTTTCTCTTTTACATGTTTCCTTCTATGCCATTTTATCTTTGATTTTCCTTTCCATGCTTTTTCTTTTTATTATTTTATTTTTCAAGAGTTTCGTGTAATTCCCAATGCCTTGTGTATTTGTTGGTTATATCTCGTGTATCGCGGTTCGTGTGAATTTACGTGTTCAGGTCACGTGATACGTACTGAACACTCGTTATAGATCAACGCGATTTTTTTCGCACTGTGACAATTTTTCATCGCCGTACAAAAATAGCTACATTTATGGCAACAGTGTATAGCGTTATCTTGATACTAGTTCACGTAGCTGCTACAGCAATCAGGTTGAAATCATGAATCCAAAGTGGGTGTAAGGACCACCGCGTCGTTCTGCCTTGGGCATTATGGTAGCGAATCCACGTAATTTCGTATATTAACGCGGGCATTAAGCCAGTGTAAACGAGTGGTTGAATGGATTCCGTAAGATAAAATCTACATTCGATAAAACTCCCCCAAGTCGCTCTCTGGCTATCCTTCTCGTAAATACACCCTTATCTCCTGCACCGGCAACGAAGGTTGTCCCTCATCCTTTTTTTTCTCTCTATTCATTCTCTCTCTTACTCTACTTCGATATCAGCATCGCACCGCATACTTTTTATTATTACGGTGTACCCAATATCGAACATCGCAGATATCGATCTGCTACCAGTAATTCTACTTCTCCAGAAACCCATCAAATTCAACCTCGAGTCCGTTTATCCATGCTTGACTCGCATAAATCTACGAATACGCAGTCTTTTCGATGATTAAGGGTAGCAACCCTATATCTATGCTCACAACAGACCTATAACTTATGACATACATAGATATAGATGTTTATTGGACACTTTTATTTTCTCCACGCCACCGAATCCCTATACACCCTTCTCAGCTCTCGTGCCGAGTATAAAGAATCCATTCGTCGACAAGGGTAGTTTTGCGATTAAATTCTACCTTGTTGTTGCTTTAACGGTTAGGGGCTGTTTTTCTCCGTATATGAGAATCATCAGGCTTGGGGACAATTAAAAAACAGAAAATTCACCACACTACATTCCTGGCTCTATACTCCTCAACCCTGCTGGGCTTTCATCCCCAATGTCAAGGGGGTGCAGGTTGGGCTGGTAACCTCAGAGCAAAAACACTTCCATTCTCCTGGCCATTTAGGTATAGCCCTCTCGTCGCGCGCCAGCTGAGGTATCCCTTTACGCAGCCCTTTGCTCGCTCCACTAAGTGTAAAACCCAGAAACCATTTCACCCTTATTCTCTTGACATCCTACTACCAGCTACTACGAACTAGCCACTGTACTCTCCTGGTCTCTTTCTTTCTTCCTCCCTCTTGTCTTTCTCCTACGTATCTTCTCTCCTCCCAGCCCACCGGAAAACCAGAGCAGCGTGTTTGCTACCGAGGGCACGGGCTTTTCCCTCGAATAACGCATAACTTTCTACCCCTAGGTGGAATAGCCCTTATCTGGCTACCGCAGATATGCACGTTCTCTGCTTCCGATAAGGGCGGCATGACGCTGACATGAATTTTCACTGCGCGATTTCGTGATCGCCTTGTTTTATCGTTAGCATTGGATTAGCCGATACCGTCACGGAAAATGGCGATATGGGTAACCTATATCAGCGAGACATCGAAAATCAAATATTCACAATTTAATCAATAGTTTTGTCTATTTACAGAGATCCAGACTATTTTTTTAGTTGTATGCACTTGTCCACTAGAATAAAAAAAAATAGAAATTGTGGTATGCAATAATTTAGTAAATTTAGTAAGAGATCGGTCGAAGGTTGATTTGCCCGAATAATTGCATTTGACATAAATAAAAAGCAATATCAAAGATTTCCCATTGTTCATAGCAGCAAGGTGATGCTGCGTAAAATGGTAATGTATTAGACGCGAGAATATTATTTTATTTAGCTGGTAGGGGTGGGGTGGGGGGGATCGTAATCCCTTAATACCAGAAATGAGGGTCAAGGGGGAGAGAGAGTTAATCAGAGTTAAAGTGAACGAGCAGACGACACTGGTAATTAGTAAGGTCTGCTAAGTGGATTTCAACAGTATAGAGTGAGAAAGGGTGTATAAGCTGAACGAGTGGAAGAACAAGAGTAAAAGAGGTCCAGAGGAGAACAGAAGAGAAGTCTGAACAGGATATAGGATAAGTACATAAGAAAAGTAAGAGAAAACGTGGATGAGTTTGTACGCGGTTACTGACCTCTTGTATATAGTATATATATTATATACATGTATATACAAACTGCGTGGTTCATATCTGATAGGATTTTTCCCTTTTCACGATTTTCTCAACGAGTCTGATGATCCGGAAACCGTTTCGCTTCGTAAACGGGCCCGCTCTACATATCAGATACGTAGATCAAAGAGGTTCTTGTATACGATGAAATTGCTAACAATTTCCCATCAATGAACATTTCCATAGATTATACTCTTCTGTGTAACGGCCACGCGCTAATAACAAGGGCAGCTACATTCGCTATTGAAATTTAAAAAAACGACCATCGTCATCGATAAAGCTTTCGATATAATCCTCGAAAGCGAAACGAGGTCAAATACAGATTTTCGTTCATTGACGAGTGCATCGCCGAAAGCACGTAATCTTTTTGGATTTTATTAAGTTCCAACTTACTTACGTCAAATTTGTTTCTTTCGTACGACTCCTATTACGTTGCAAATCCAAGTGTGTTATTCCCTATACTTTATAAGGTAGTAACTTTTTGCACACTTACAAGTGTGTTCTTATTACTGCGTATTCCAACGTAAAAATGACACACTTATAAGTGTGTAAAAAAGTGACTACCACAGAAAGGATAGGGAATAACATACTTTGATTTGCAGTGTAAGTATAAGGGGGGGGGGGAGACTATCAAATCTATCGATGACATTCAGTGACGTCGTTAACTTTCCCAATAAGTCGTCCGAACAGGTTAAAATACTTTTATTCGATATTTCTTTGATGAATACTAAGAGGCGGTGTGTGGCTGAACTTAGCAGGTACTATATACTAAATAGTGAGTATAAGATAATAGTAGGTAGCATGAGGTAGGAAGAGGTAGTGGATAGTACTTCAGAACAGAGTACACTGCCGGCTATATGCTAGAGGAGACCTACTAGACTAGACGTCCCAGATAGTTGGTGCTTTGTATTTGCCCATTAATACTGAACTACCCATCCTAGCCGGTTACCTAGTCGACGCTGAGAAATTAGCGGAGGCGCTAATTGTGTTACGTAACCTAGTTAGCGATGTGTGATCTCGGTAAATCCGAGGAAAGATCCTTGGGATAGTTTTTCGTTCTAATTACGATGGCAAATATGGATACCTCAATACTTGAGAGTCGACATTTGAATTTGCCAAAAGGCATTTTAAGTTTTCCACGTTAAAGAAGACATTCAATATGGTCAGCTCCCATCCCATCCCCAAAGACGAGAGTTAATCGCTAACTTTTTGTATATATCTATATGTACCATTTGCCATTTATCGTAAATTTTTATCAAATTCTTCTTATCGATACCTGTGGACGTTTAATTATATATGGGTCAAAAGTCCAAAATATTAATATTAGCGTAATATTTGTATTTCCGCAAAAAATCCAAATTTTCCCGTGACTCTTCGTAAGTCTTTTCGACAACGCAAAAATATTTTAGTTCCGGGATTATCGCATAGCACGGAAATATTAAAACAAAGCCGGATATTAAAATTAATGAACCGCGAATTTAATAAGCCGTCAACAATCGTTGAAGTCGGGGGAGTGTTTTAAAGGTTCATTTCTACGTGTACACACGTTCTGTATATATATAGACATATATACACATATATATATATATTTACAGTGTAGATACTAGGTCAAGACTTGTTCCCGTAGCACTCAGCATAAATATAAATATGTATTATGCCGCATAT